CCTGTGCCTATTTCTGTCGGTAATACCAAAAAACCCAACAATCCGCCCGTTTTCTGTGTTTTTTTTTTTTTTTCTTTAAAAAAAAAAAAAAAAAAAAAAAAAAAAAAAAAAAAAAAAAAAAAAAAAAATAAGAAAACAAGATAAGGTTTCTTGAAGGGCGTGGTATTTGTTGTATTCGAAGGTTCCAGGCATGGTTTCCCCGATTATTACCCAAGTCCGGTAAACTCGAAATACGCGGAGATACTGTCCACACATGCCACGAAGACCTTTCTTGGCCTAGTACCAGGCTTTTGATCGGTTCATTATAGTGGTCGCTCCCACAGAATGCCTTTCAGTTCAAAAGCTCGCCACTTGGGTAAATTTCCGAAAGCCCGGACCCGATCATTTATTTTGAATACTAGCCGATGGATTGAAGCGATCTCCCACGATCGAACAAAGCCATCTTTCAGGGTCGTAAATTAAGAGTACTGTTCTATCCTAGGGTTACGAAGTGCCGATAACAGCCGCGCAGTTCTGGACGTAGTGTTCATAGCATTAGAAACAGGCTGCGCTCCAGGGCTGTGTCTGCCCAAACGACTCTGATGTAGGCCTGTATCCCGATATACCTACATACAGACTTGGGTGGGTCTTGGTAAGCTTTCCAGCTGCTCGCCAGGCAAATTGTATCTAAAACCGCATGATAATAGACCGAGACGGGACGTGATCTAGTTTGTTAGTCAACTTGTAATTACGTACTTAGGTGGGTATCGGACCGGAGGCGGCATTGGGAATTTGCGATACCAGGGAATATAAGCATTCACGAATCGCCCCTGAACATTGTAAATCAAACCTCTCAATTGCTCACGAAGTCGCGTTTTTGGCTTTTCCGCCATATACTTCGTCACTTTACTTGTCTCACATCTTTTGCAAACAAAATGTCTCTGCCCCTGGATGATCTTGAAGCCACATTTTCGTTGGCTACGAATGCAATCCATCGAGATGATCGCTATGCCGGACCTGATGTTGCGCCGGCAATGCATCCCAGCACGACTTTTCGATATTCTTACAACCCAGAGGAGCTCTCTCCTCAGGAAAAACTCTCTGTCAGTAGACGATACCTCTTTCCACTCAAATCCTGGAAATCTGACGTTTTGCGCTCTCTAGAAAACCGACATGGTCTATGCCAGACTTGCCAGACCGACCGGATCTCGCTTTGAACATGTCCTGACCACGCTTCTCAAAGGAGAGGTATTGGTTTATTCAACGGGGCTTTCTGCGATTCATGCCTATCTAGTCCACCTCGGACCGAAGAGAGTCGCGATTGGAGGAGGCTACCACGGCACACATGCAGTTCTGGATATACATCACCGCATGTCCGGCACGCAGAAGCTAGGTCTGGATGAGACCGATAAGCTTGAGGCCGGCGATGTTATTCATCTCGAGACACCTCTGAACCCAACTGGTGAAGCTCGGAACATTGCCGCGTATTCGAAGATTGCAAAAGAGAAAGGCCTTTATCTCGTGGTCGACTCCACATTTGGTCCACCAGCATTGCAAGACCCATTCATATGGGGTGCAGATATTGTCATTCATAGTGGCACCAAGTACATTGGTGGTCATAGCGATATTATGTGTGGCATCCTGGCGACGCAGCGAGAGGATCTGTTCATGGGGTTATGGGAGGACCGCTGTGCCCTGGGAAATATTCTTGGTGGCTTCGAATCATGGCTGGGGCTTCGAAGTCTTCGCACTTTGGATATACGGTGTCGAAGGCAAAGCGACAACTGCACCGCCCTCGTGGAATGGATGGTCGAAATGATCAATGACAGTGAACCAAACCCGGTCAATCAAACCGTGCAGAAACTTACCCACTCAAGCCTGCAAGAAAACGACATGGAATGGCTGCGACAGCAAATGCCAAACGGATTTGGCCCCGTTTTTGGCATGATGATGAAGAAGGACGAATTTGCGCAGTGGCTGCCGAGCAAGCTTCGCGTGTTCCAGCACGCAACGAGTCTTGGGGGTGTGGAGAGTTTGATCGAGTGGCGACGAATGTCTGATCATGCGGAGAAGGGCAATGTTCTCCGGATCAGCGTAGGAATCGAATCCTGTGACGATCTCCAGAGCGACTTGTTAAATGGCTTCCGAGCCTTGATGGAGGAGGGATTCGCCAACTAGTCTCTTGCGACTTGATAAAGCTGAAGATCAAACCAATATCACCGTATGAAGTGAAGAGCCTCTTGTTAGAGTTACTGAAACGGTGGCGAAGCCGCACTCGAAAGAAGCTGAAGGGCGTGTTGGAATTGGCGAATCCATAGCGAGGATACCCGAAAGGATCCTCACAAAGCGGTCTTGGGTTTGAACGGAGATTATGATGCGATAACCGGTCACATGGCTTAGGGTTTTCTTTGATTTCACTCCTCTCTCTCCCTCTCTCTTTCCCCTGTATCAGTTCACAAGTAGACTCAAATGTTTGCGTACCAACTCACTGCCAGTTTCCTAGCCAGAACGTAATCAATCGGCACAGGCACGCGATCCCTTAGCTCTGCATTCCCGTTATTCTTCCTAGTCCTATCCTGGTTGAGACACCTGTTCCTGGCAGTACTAGACCAACTTCACCTTCCGGTCCCCACACTATCTTCACACTCCATGGTCTAAATTCGCAAAAGCTTCATGATCATTCACATAACGGCGATCCCACCATCATCTTCTTCCTCACGATACATACTAGTATATGTCGGAAAATACTTTTCAGTACGACCAGGGCATACTGGGTATGAAAGCCCTTCATGTGAGACGTGGTAGATGCTTCCTATGGTTGTTACGCTGCCGAAGGTCGTTGTAACTTGAAGTTGTAACAGCCCGTGACCGCTATATTTAACAGATAAAGTATTGGGTTTGTCTAGAGCTGGAGCAGTTGCGTGAAGAAGGTTGCACATCTGTTCCCATGGGAAGCTGGCGCATCTACACATTCCCTTGCCACCTGGGCAGTGACATGTTGCTGTTGATATAGGTCATACTGTATCAACATTCGCCGTGTATTTGCTACATTTGCGAATTTTGGGTCCGCAAACGTAAAACAAGTACGGAACGGGGGCCATGACAGCGCCCAGGGCGCCGAGGATTGTGAGTGTGTACTGCACGCCGATAGCGTGATGTATCAGACCACCGGCAACCGTGACACCGCCCGCGACGACATATCGTGTGAAAATAAGGAAACCAAGGGCGGAAGCTGACAATGTTTTATATGCGTCGATGAGATACATATACGAAATAATGAAAATGGTGGTGATCCCGAACCCGAATAGCACAGAGGTGATGAGCGGTGACCAAATTGAGATAGCCACCTGAAATTAGGCGAAGAAGACCCGTTACTAAATTTCGATAAATCCGGGATTCACGAAGGAACTTACATTGCTAGTCCATCTCATCCAAAATAGGTTGATTGGCACAGCCGGCGCACCGCCAAGCATTGTATACCAAAGCCTGATTTGAGGAGAAATTGTGGAAAATGATTTTTCCAACACAGAGTGTCGCTTGTAATCCTTCGCTATGATCTTATACATGACTGCTACTACAAGGCTCACCAGCAGGATTCCAACGAGCATTCCAGTCCAGCATAAGCTCGTGAGGCCTTCTGAGATACCATATTCTTCGCCAAAAACATATCTGTAACCCTCCAAAAATGTCAAAAGGACCATATATATTACGGTGAGATAAAGTGAGATCAGCATAAAGATCAACTCAGAGTAGAACATTGAAAAGGGCCTGCTGACTGAGAGCTTTAGACGTTGACCAATTCAATCACATTTTATCTCCATTGGCGCTCGAAATCTTTCGTCGCCTGTTTCTTCAGAGAATTGAAGCTTTCCAGTGCACAATCAAGTTTCCATATGTCTCAGGCTGGAACAAAGAGAGTATAACCAATACTACACCACCCATGATATGCGTGATCCATTCCAGACAGCGCCAGCCTAGGCCGGGCGTAGTTGGAAGATAACTCCCAATCATCTGGCCGATCATTGGACCTGCAAAAGCAGGTATAGCGTAGACGCGAGAGACGTATGTTTTCTGTAGCGGGTCCCATAGGTCGGCAACTGTACCACCAGCACACGCAAAAAGTCCAGCGAGAAATTGAAATATAAAATGGGTATGAAGATTGGGTGAAAGACCAGACACCATTATGAATATCAAAAAGAGAAACATTGTCGTTAAATAAATTGTGTTGCGACCAAATGTTTCTGAAAAGGGACCGGACAACGGAATATACCTAGAAAGCGATCGGGAGCCCATGGTCAGTAATTTGGTCTTTGAATCAGAAAAAGGGCAAGTATCTGCTAGACTCCCGCACACCACATGCATCTATGGCAGACGCCGCTGTAACCACAAGTGCGATTAAAGATACCAAAATAGTCATGACGAACTTTCGCTTGGTTCTTTTGTTGGCAGGGCTTAGAGGATCGTCGGGCGGATCTGGGGTATCAGTCGCGCGCTTTTCTGGAGTCTCTTCGTCATTCGTACACAATCTATATCTCATGTCATAAAATTTCCCTGCAGAATCTTAGTGGCGTAGAGATAAGCGGTGTCAGTATCACTCGGCTCCGACAGCTGACGGCGGACCGATTCCTGCACCCGTTATTACTGGAAGAAAGACTCCATTACTGTGACACCAAACAATAAGGATGGGTTGGCTGGGGGATCGTGCCGTGATAAGATCAGGCAATACCGCTATTTGAATATAAGAAGTTGTGTAGGGAGTCGTCGGCAAATGACGGCTTTCTAATTGTCGACCAACCGACCTTTTTTTGGGAGCATCGGAAATGCCTGCTATGTGAACCGTATAGGTATCTCCGATGGCTTAATTCCGACTTCGCCACAACAAACCTCTAGAACAGTCTTGGATTCCCGAAGGCATGGGAATCCGACGGGGTTTAGAAAACAAAAGTATCATGTTTCCTGACAGAGAAAATGTGATTTGACCTAAGTACAGCTTTGGGAATTGAGCCTAAGGACAGTCGGTCGCAAACCCCGGTTATACCCAGAAAGTAAGGGATCACCGAAGAAGACAAGGTGTCGGTAGAAATGAGGGCTTCTTGCTAAGCATCAACGGACTTGTTGGCACGTCCCAGCCCGGAGTTATGACAATAGAAAAATGCGCGGGGTCGCAAGACACTCGATTTCCGGTATACTAAAACTAAGCCCCGACATGCTCACTGTATTGCAGTACACTGTCTTGAAATTTACATACAAGTCCGTACGTTATCGGAAACAAAGGAAAGTTACCCGCCCAGTAAAACGGTAACTCCGATCGGGCCTGGTGATCCATCCCGACGCTTGCATTTCTCTCATCTCCACTCGCTATTAACTTCTAGGATTTCTAGCCACTGCGCGAAGATTTCCGATACACACTCGCTGGATCTCAAAAAGGAAGGTACAAGCAGGCCGAGTTTTTGGTTCGGCCATACGGAAAAGACTGGTAATTGTCGTTCCATTGCCACGCGTCACCTATATTCCAAGATTTAATAGCACTTGGACATGTCCCACTTTATCAGTATATGAGAAGGCTAGTCATACGTATCATTGCATCTTCATCCCCTGAGCGCAAGCACCAAACACGAATCTATCGCCAAAGAATTCCACGTTCGTAACGGTCAAGACAACATGTACCTACGTGCCATCCATGCGGAATCAGACATTTCGACCCTCCAAGAATTCATTCAAAGCAATCCCCTTGGAGTTCTCACGACGGCAGTTCCTTCTGCTGACTTTCGGTGCCTCCAAGTGAGCCATATTCCTTGGATCATCGACACGGCGAAAGATGCTTCCGAATCTGCCAGTGGCCTAGGTGTTTTGCGTGGACACATGGCCAGTCAGAATCCCCAAGCAAAAATCCTGATTGATTCTGCAAAGTCTACAATGGGGGAAGGGATAAAGGTGGCATACAGCTCAAAGATGAGGTTCTGGTGCTGTTCACAGCAGACGTTCATCACTACGTGACACCAAAGTTCTACACGGAGACTAAGCCCACCACTGGCAAGGTTGTGCCAACTTGGAACTATTCTGCTGTCCAGGCATATGGAAAAGCAACTATTTTCTTTGATATGGGGTCAGAATCAACTGAATAGCTGTCTCCACAAATTGACGAGTTATCCGAACATGCGGAAACATCCATTATGGGTTATACTGGAGGGGACAATCTAGGCCCATGGAAAGTGTCCGATGTACCCGATAAATACATCACGTTGATGCAGAAGGCTATCATCGGTATCCAAATTGAAATCACGAGTCTCGGTGGAAAATTCAAAATGAGCCAGGAATCTCCCGAGAAAGACCGGGAAGGCGTCATTGCAGGATTCCAAAGCTTGAACAGTGAAACAGGTAAGGGAATGACTCGCACAGTTTTGGATCGACAGGATATCATGAACTCGAAGAACTGATTCAACAAGCTAAGCATGTCAACGCTATTGCAGTGGGAATCATGATGTTGGACAGTGTCGGTGGTCCATCAATCTCACGCATGTCCGAGTCAGGGCCTCATTTCTCTCCGTACTACTCTATATCGTCCCAAGGCTGCTTCGATTATCTTCCCCTTTGTATCTATACCAGAGTCCGGAAATTCGGGAGAGCTTTCTTTAACCCAATATTGATTTCATATGTCATCCCTGGGCGCCACGTTTGCTCTAAGGTTAGTCGGTTTTGTAACTTCAAGATCATCAATTTTCTGATCTAGGCAATTACATAATTAGTTTTGCTTGAGTAATAGGCAGGAAGTCTTGTCAGGGCCGTGTAGTTCATATACATCCTGCGCCCTCTCTCTTCCGTCCTCGGCCTTCCTCTCTCCTTTTCAAACCACTGGTACCACTTCGTGTTTTGTCCGAACCTTCGTCGTGTAGCTCCCAACACCCCCTTCTCCATTCTGCTCTCTCTCCGAAATAATGAGATAAATCCTAAGAAGCTCGTATTATCGGCCACTGCCCATATAGCTAGTTCCCAACATTCCTACTGCCATTTTCAACTTAAACGCTTACCTGAAACTCAAATTATAACCCAGCTATTGCTCAATCTCGACGTCATCAACCATATCTACCTTTGGAAATCGAGTTATCTGACCATGGGGAAAGGAAATGAGCATTAATTGGTCGTAGGCATGGTATACTGCTCTACATAACCAAAATACAAAGACTTCATACCGGACTGCTGATACCATTTTGGGAGATTGATAGCCTAGATTGCATACGAGCCTTGTGGCGGCACTAACCATCCCGGGGGGTCCACATAACATAACACGCAAATCCTTAGGAGGCTCACTCATTTTGTCTCTTATCATTTCCTCTGTGACGTGCCCAACAGCGCCAACCCAGCTCGAGTATGGATTAGACAGGACATATCGAACCTGAAGCTTTTCGGGATGGCGGTTTTCTAGAACATCGATATCACCTCATAGCAAAATATCGAGCTCGGGCCTATTGGCATACATGATTTCAATGCGGGTATGATCTTCTGTATTAGAGCATATGGCACGCATTATCCCGTACATTGGTGTAATACCTGTTCCCCCCACAATCATAGAGATCCTTGGGGAGTATTTGCTCGAATATAGAATCGAGCCCTTTTGGCCTCAAAACTCGACCTTGTCTCCGGGAACAAGACCTTCCAAGAACGGGGTCATGACTCCTTCTTGATATACATACCTTTATAAGCAGATCCGCATGGCTCAAGTCGTATTGATGAGAAATTGGGGTGTAGGATCTTGAAATCCATCTTCCGCCCACGAAAACGCGAATGCTGACATGTTGGCCAACAGGGATACTTAATGGGTACGTGGCTATCGGCAAATCGAACGATAAGCTAAGCACATTTGGTGAGATATACATCCGCTTCCTAAGGGTAAGCTGTATCCAATTTTGGGGGTCCAGTTGACTTGTGAGCTCTTTTAATGGCACTTCTTGGGGGGGATTGAAGAGCCTTCAACGCGGCATGATTTGTTCCCTCTTCGTGGCCCCCCAACCCCTCGAAATCCTCATCCATAGACCGGTCCCTATCTTGCATCGACTTGTGAGCCTCATTCATCGGAGTACCAGTCTCCTGGATATGATGCTTGTTAAGATCTACTTTAATTCAAAACAAGAAAGGCCTGTGCATATTCACCATTTGACAAAGATATCCTACCAATAGAGTTAGAAGTATCTTTAGCGTTCGCGGAATGGCCGGTATCTTCGAATTCCTGCGTAACATCGATTCCAACAGCCTGGAGAAGAATTTCCGGCCTTCCAGGATGATCGTTCACATAGTCGGTCACATTGTATACTGTTTCTATCGCTGAGTACTGTGCCATGCGCATATAATTCTACTGTGCTGAGCACTCACCTTTACCTTGAATAGTTACCAATGCTTGATTTAACTGAACTAGGCTCTCCAGCTCATCGAGTTTGATCAGTGGTAGCATCGTTTTGAAGGAAGCCAGTCAACTCTTTGCTAGTAGGCGGTCGTGAAATCAATAGAGTATGACATCTGTTGCCTCAGTCGCTAGTGAGATTCGTGCTGAGCACATTGATTCTTGAATCAGACTAGATAATTGGGGCTCCGAGGTGAATAGTCTCAGAGGAGGATTATGAGTACACCTGTAGCTATAGTTTGTGAGGATGACGACGGTGGAATGCACAGGGGTGGGTCCCCTGTAGCCAAAAAAGGCTGCCTGAACAGTGAAAAAAAAAATAAAAGAAAAACAGAAGCCAGAGGTGCACGGCGAGTAGTAAAATTGTGAGCTTGTCGGCTGCGCGCGTTCAGACACGCGGTGTGGGGTATTGCCAGCTAAAGTGTCAAGGTAGAACTCATTTTGAGCTATGACTAGAATGTGGATTTTGCATCAGGACATGTGATGACTGTCTCTTGTAGTGCAGAATTGGACAACTGCTGTGTAAACCACAATGGTCACGATAATTCCAGGAAACGAAGTAGGGCCGATTGTGACAGGTGATCCGATCGCTACCTAGTAGGCCATAATCAATACCAGTATATACTACTATTACAGGTCCTCGGAGAACGACCGACCCACGTGTTTTGGAGTTTCCACCGACAGAAAACAAAGTACCAGTGAATTTATACCTATTCAGGTACATGGTGTAGGGGAAGAGTCGCCAAAGTATTTTGATGGCCGAGGGGAAACGTCCAAACTGGGACTATCTCGGGGAGTAGTCTTTGTTTTGGTGCTATGTATTTACATAAAATCTATTATGGCATGAGCCCCTAATGGGAAAGAAATCGGCCTTCTTTGAACCAACCCGGAGAGTTGTGTGATGGTTTCTCAGCTGAATCGACCCTTCCTCACGCCTGCGAGCGTGAAGCCTTTGAGCACGTTCCCCCTCTTCAAGGTACGATTCTAGCATGGCTCGACGTCCGCGGGTTCCAACTGACCTCGGCAAAGACTGACAGAGAACTAGAAAGCCACGGGTACCCGTTCCCAGTTGGAAACTGAAACTGCGCTGTAAGCCGGCGAGTGCATCTCCGACCCGTAATATCTGTCGTAGGGCCGATCGATGCACTCACTGCCTTGGGGATGAAACTCGTGCCTATCGGATCCAACTAGACTAAAGTTTGGATTACAATATCTGGTTTTGGAGCGAGTCTCATTATCATGGCTTTATTGATTGGTCTATTATGCTTAAATAAGAAAACTATCATCGAGAGATTCAACCGCGGTGTAAATGATTCGGAGATAATAAATCGGAGATGAGTAACTAACGTAATCAACCACCGAGCCGGCACCTTTTAGTGCAATCACGAAAATTTTGAAGTCTTCGACAACAAAAACATAATTAAATTAGAATAAAAGTAGTAGAATATAAGGATATTTACTAGGACAGCTTCGTATTGTATGTCCAACTGTCCCACAGCCACTGCAGCGTGGTGGAGCGCGTTGGCGAGGCACAGGTGTAGGCTCATCAACCTGCTCATTAAGCTGCGTATCAAGCTGCTGAATACGATTTTGGCCTTCCTGTACAGATAGAAAGGTATCACTCCCTAATAGAGCACGCCTTCTTTTTTCTTTTTGTATTTTCGCTCATTTTCGGCTCGTAAATTCTTGATTTCTTGCTGTAAAAGAAGATTGGTTTGCATAGCCATTTGTGCTGCCTTTTCATGTTGGATATGAGCAACTGGACTGCTAGAAAGTTTTCGTTTAGCACTAAGGCTATTCTGCAAGCTGCTTATCTTTCGATCTAGCTGGCGAGTATTCTGTGGAGTCTGGAAAGCAGAGGAAATTGACCCTTCAATGTCACGGACTGTGACCTGCCTCCGAAGACCTTCCTTCACGATACCCTATGACCTAACTACCCGATCGGGACTAGCATCACAACCTAGCTTAGTTTCTTCGTTGAATGCATATCCTACATTTTCGCGATTTCTTATCGCCAGCGTAGCCGTTCGTCACATTCAACTAGTGGTGGTGTTGGTGTACGTGGTTGAAAGGTAAGCTTCGAAAGAACACGCTCTTGATCGAATGGCTTAAGCCCTGCCCCTGCAAAACCACTGCAGATATTCGCTGAAGTAAATGATTTGGTGCGTGCATATGGATATAGAGACAGAAAGTCTTCTTTATCAATGTGGTTATTGCCAGCAATCATTCTGTTTTCAAGCAGCTTTCCGTACGCGCGTTTAAGCGGGCCAAAAATACCAACACCAAGTGGTTGCGGTAAATGAGAAGCATGTGCAGGCATACAGAGACAGATAATTGCATTCTGCTTGTAGAAGTTATTAAATTTAGTAGTTAGATGGCTACTATGGCCATCTAGAATAAGCAACCGCTTAGCACCAGTCATAGAGCGTTTAGAGGATGGTTCAAACACCTCTCTTAATCAACGAAGGCCTACTTCATCTGTTGTCCAGGCATTCTGACTAGTTGCAATCCACCAGTCTTTATCAAGTTTAAGTTCTTGAAACCAGGCAGCTTGTTGATTGCCTGCTTTGAGTATAATGACTGGTAGTATATGCACGCCTTTTGTACTGACAGTTTCAATGATTGTGACCCATTCACGGTTGCCCTGAATGACTCTGCGTGGTCGCTCACTGCGATCTACTGCAGTAATAACTTTAGCAGTTGAGCAGAGCCCCATTGCAAAGCCAGTTTCATCAAAATTCCAGATGTCATCTTCATGTATGCCGTGTTCTTTGATAGCTTCATGAACAATTTGAAACCATGGTATTATAACCCGTGGATCTTCCTGCTTTGCCCGTTGATAGGTAATACGTCAGCTATATCGTGTAGATAGCTGAGGATAGCGTTTGGTAAATTTGTAGGCCCAGTTAACACCAAGGACTGCAGTAGGGTTCCGTAGACGCTCATAAAGTAAGATCTGAGCCATTCTACGCATAAACTCTGGCGGGAATGGAAAGCCTCGTTTGTCTGTATCAAGAAACTGCTTCACAAGAGATTCCCCTTCAATAACTGTCAATTTATAACTGTTGGCGCGTGTTTCCGATCGTGAATTTATACCGCGAAGACGATCTTGAAAGGTGCTTCTAGGCACTCCAAAGGTATCCGCAGCTTTTGATTGAGATCGAATTTTTTTGCCCTTATAGGCAGATATAGCCATCTGCATTCGATCTTCTTGAGAAAGTGGACGCGTTGAATGATGTTTACTGGTAGGTGTAGAGGAAAACCTGCCGGCTCGGTGGTAATGCCGACTCGGTGGTTGATTACGTTACCTGCTACTTGTCTGCCACGTGTCTATGATTCCTCTATAATCTCCTATATCCAATATCACATTTGATCTATATGGTAGTGAATCATAGCGGACAGGTGTACTATAACTGCGTCATAGTCCCAAGTCCCGATGTGTTGTCTCTTTTAGGCAGCTACAGCCGCGCCCTTCGGTCGTAAACCGCGACCCGCCAACGATCCCCACCACAACCATCCGTATCTACGGAGCACATCAACCATTCTTAATACCACCACATTTTTATCACGATGGGTGCCGTTCTATCGACAATACGCGCTGGCTACGACGCGCTGAGCGCCTTCTGGGCCGAACTATCCCAAAGCATGGCCGAGTCCGACGCGCTCCTTCGCCGCATCGCGTCGCCTGCTTTTCCAGTGCTGGATCCAACGGTCTCGTTCTGGCAGATGAATCCACCTTGCCCGAAACTGGTCAACATGAAATCCAAGAAGCTTCCACAGTCCGCTGATATCGTCATCATTGGTTCCGGATTGTCGGGCGCTAGCGTGGCATACACAATTCTGTCGGAATGTCACGCGCTAGGAGCAGAGAAGAAAGTCGTTATCTTGGAAGCGCGCGAGACATGTAGTGGTGCGACGGGGAGAAATGGTGGCCACTTGAAATGCTCGCCTTATTCGCTGTATTCCGACTTGAAGGGTATGTTGGCGCCGAAGGCAGCTCGAGAAGTCTTGAAGTTCTATCGTCGGCATCTTCCGATCATGCTTGGTTTAGTGAAAGCAGAAAGGCTCGACAACACGGAAGCTAGAGAGGTGGAGACTGTTGATATTTTTCTGGAGAAAAGCGCATGGGACAAAGGCTTAGGGATGGTTAGGGATCTTCGTCAGGATGTTCCAGAAGCTGCGCACGATATTGTGGTTTGGGAAGCCGATGAAGCTCGGAGGGTGAGTCTGGATCCTGTGGTTTAATAGCTGAAGGTGACACAATGCTGATGCAATTCCAGAAATTTGGCCTAAGTTGTCATGCCCACGGTGCCATCACATATCGCGCTGGAGCAATGTGGCCCTATCGACTTGTGAGCTCGCTTTACTCACACCTGCTTTCCAAATATAGCCATTCTTTCTCTATCGAGACCAGCACGGAGGTTCAAGAAATTCATTTGCAAGATGATGAAGCTACCCCGTATTGTCTTAAGACGTCACGCGGTGAGATAAACGCTCGGCATGTTGTCCATGCGACCGATGGATTCACAGCCAATCTTATCCCGGGATTGAAAGGTAAAATATTTCCTGTGCGTGGGCACATGACGGCTCAAGCGGCGGAAGGCCCATCATCAGGCTTGGATGGCTCACGGTCCTGGAGTTTTATTGGCAAAAAGGGGTTCGAGTATATTACCCAACGACCACAGAAATCGGCAGGCTGTCACAGTCCGGGTGGGGAGATCATGCTCGGGGGCGGTCTCTTTCAGTCCGAAGATAAGGGAACTGACGAGATCGGCATCTGGGAAGACGACGGTGCCAGTCCTGTGATCAGCGCTTATTTGAGCGGAATCTGGTCTGTGGTCCTCCGAAATGAGACCACTCGAGTACTTCAACTATGGACCGGCTGCATGGGTTACACCATAGACCTTCTGCCTTTTGTCGGACGCGTTCACCCTAAATTCACCGGAAGAGACCCACAGCGATCGTCTCATAGGAGGAAATCTCCGGGGAATTCTAGGAGCGATACCCCCAATGAATGGATTACCGCTGGCTTCGGTGGAGATGGAATGGTGTCAGCATGGCTCTCAGGCACGGCAGTGGGACTAATGCTTTTAGGAAGAGACGACATTGAACACGCGGCCCGGCCGGGGAGACCGGCTGGCAAAGTTTCAGATTGGCTTCCCAAGGAGTTGCGTCTCTCCGTGGAGAGAATCCGGAGAGCGAACATCTACAAACTGGCCCAACAACTGTAAAAGATCAGTCGATAGAACCTGGCTAGTCGAGGATTACCGGTTAGCAAACCAATTCAGTGAGACATGACCATCCCATCGTTTGGAGTTGGTTAGACTGTACATAGGTCTCCTCTTCGATTTTAGTCCAATGCGCTGCAGCCAAGAAAAGACGGGCCAGCAGAAACAAGTCTAAGGATCTGAAAAATGCCAATCCCATGTTTCCCCACAAGCCACAACCCTAAACCCTAACCATAAGCATAGATCTGCCTCGCAAATCGGGACGGGAAATCCACGGACGAGCTCCCGTGCCAAAAACAGCTAGTCATTTCTCCAGTGAAGCGGAATCCTACATTCTATATATCCTTGTTACTCGATGGTTTGACATGTGGAGAGCACTGCGGGTTTCATTCCGTGACGGGAGGGGTTAGTCAAAAAGCAAAAATCCGGGGTTGAGATCAAAGTATACCATTATGGTAGTATTTGTTTGTTCTATGGTAAGTCATACATAAACCGGTCCACACGCCCCATGGAGAATTCTTGGGATATCTAGTGTCTCTAAGCAATCATGACGACTGCCCACATGGTGCACGGTGAGAAAGCCTCGGTTGAGAACCAGGAAATCATTGATGACACCGATTCCAACCCAAACGCTCAACGAGTTCAGGTTCTGTCTGTCGGACTGAACAATGCTCTATCTAAGGATCTTGCGTCACCCTGGTCACGGGCCATTCTCCGCCTCTGTGGAGTCATTGCTATCACAACTCTAAGTATGTTCTTTCAACTTGGTGGGCTACCGATCATTAACATAGATAGATTGCTGTATGAACGGCTACGATGGCACCCTCATGTCGTCTATCAACGCCATGGGCACATTCCATGACCATTTCGGAACCCAGATGCAAGGAAGTGGTACAGGTCTTTTGTTTTCTATCTATGCTATTGGTAACCTCGTGGGCGCCGTGTTTGCCGCCCCTGCTTCAGATACCTTTGGTCGGCGTTTCGGCATGTCTCTCGGTTCCCTGGTGATCATCGTTGGGACAATCGTTGAGGCAACGGCATCAAAAGTCGCTCAGTTCATTGGTGGTCGTTTCCTGATCGGAATGGGAATCAGTTTAACTAACACAGCAGCTCCGGTCTATTTGGTAGAGGTGGTCCTGCCGCAGTGGAGAGGAGTATTTGGCGGGCTGTATAATGTGGTTGGTTACTACACAGGGGCATTAGGTGAGTGATCCCCGGCCAGTTTCTTGTTCATTGCTGATTTGCTAGCCTGTACATGGATCTCGTACGGGACGGGCTTCCTGAGCACAGACTGGTCCTGGAGGATCCCCGTGATAATCCAGGCCGTTCCATCTCTCATTGTTCTCATTGTCGCCTGGATGTTGCCCGAGAGTCCTCGATGGCTCTTCGCCAACAACAAACCTGAAAAGGGCCGGCAGATGCTCGTAAAATACCACGGAAATGGGAACCCCGACTCCGCCCTGGTAAACTACGAATGCTCCGAAATCGAGCAAGACATTCGCTTTGAGATTGAAAGCGGCGGTCGGCGCTGGTGGGACTATAAGATTCTATTCAAATCGCGGGACATGCTCTATCGCCTCTGGTTGTTGTTCCTGGTCTGCATTTTCTCGCAATTCATCGGCGGATCGGTCATCACGTTCGTCACCTCCCCATGCCTTTCTTCATTTGGCACTAACGAATAAAGATACTTTATGCCGGTCATGCTTGAGAACGCCGGTATCACGGGTTCCCATCAACAGCTACTCCTTAATGCCCTCAACACCGTCTTCTCCTTCATCAGCGGCATTATTGGCAGTTTCTTCGTCGACCGCTGGGGGCGACGCACTCTATTCCTCTACGGCACCTTCCTCACCGGCCTCATCTACATCCCCATAAACGTGATCGCTTCCTTCGAGCCTGCAAATATCACCACGAGCATGGGCTACGGCTTCATCGCCTGCATCTTCCTCTACGGTGTGGTCTTCTCTTTCTGCTGGACCACGCTCCAGTCCCTTTATCCCGCTGAAATCCTACCGAATCGCATCCGCGCTAAGGGTATGGCTCTCCAGAGCGTGGCGACGGGTGGAGCTAATTTTATTAACATGTATGCGACTCCGACGGGGATGGAAAACATTGGTTGGAGGATGTATACGATTTTCTGTAAGTGATCAAGGCTATTTCATCTCGTTTATCATAAGAGATTAATACTCAGTACTAATCTTTTCTGAAACCATAGTGGTCTTGCATTTCCTTGAGTACGCGCTCATGTTCCTTACTCTTCCAGAAACGAAGGGCCGGACTATCGAGGAGTTGGAGGACGTGTTCAATGACCCGAATCCAGTTAGAGCATCTTTGAAGAGAAAGGAGGTTGTGATCCGGGAGGGTGAGGGTGTCAAACAGGTAGATGAATGATCTTTAGGTGATATATGATCAAGGATATCTAGGTTATGGTGGCTATCACGAGGCTTGGGAGTCAGGTTTATTGTGCCATTGTTGATGGTTTACGTGAGGAATTATGGAATTGGTTCCTCCTGATCAATTCCTTCAACTTTCTTCGCATTGTATTCTCGCCTAGATTGGTTGTCGGACGTTGTAGTGAGAGAGGAACGCTTTTTGCAAGTACACCAGGTTTATACTTCGGAGACAGATGGATGCGTATATTTCCGTAATTTACGACTCTTGGCGTGTTTGCGCCCTCTGGTCACGTGTTTTCATCGGGCTGCGCGGCGGGCCTTCCAACCGCGCCCATCTTGACCTGTCCAACACTAAAACCGAATGACGATCATCTGAAATGGGCGAGATATAATGTCTCGAGCCAACACCGCATCAGAGCCGCTGACACGGCAATCTTATGAGTCATAACGGTAAGCGGATATCCCTCTATATCAACGTTCATTATGCAAAGGAAAGTGCAGTCTGACCGGTCACTTAGCCTAAAGAAGACTAAATGTACAGGGGAACGTCTGACCTGCTCGTTCTGCCTACGACTTAAGATCCCATGTGTGTATCTGCCCAGAGGATCCTCGCCTGCCAATGGCGTTGGCAAAACAGTCACCGTAGATTCAAGGTAATCTTTTACCTGCCCGCAAGGGGGCTAGGTATTTGATCATGGACATATTGGCTCATCGGATACAAGCAGAAAAATTCTACTGCGGATCGTGTGCAAATGATGGAGCGTCACATAAATCATATTTATGACCTTCTAGGGTGCGTTAATCGCTACCCGGGCTTCTCGATCCCTGATCTTGCCTATTGCCGGTTTCAAGATTGATCAACGCATTGATCGTCTCGACCCTACGTATCAACCATTGACAACGAATCCGTATGACAGTGAATACCAGGCAATGTGTAAGAACATTTATTTTTCCCTTGTATCAGCTGATGGATATTAATATATTTCTTGTTAGATGATGCGGAACTGTTCGCCAATCAGCCGTCTACTATACAGATTGTTGGACGTCCGTTTGATGACGAGGAGCTTATAGAAGTTACTGCTGAGGTTGATAGGATCTTCAAAGAGACTGGGGAGGTAAATTCAAAGCTATGAGGTCTCATAGTGCGAGATAGTGGACTTGTTCTATCTACCAATTGGTTAATCGTTCGCATGAAGATGGATCCGTGGGATTAGCAAGGCAAACGGGGGATAGGACAATGAAGATATCGCGTTCCACCGCTGTTTGGCTTTCTCAATTTGCATCATGGAATTACCTCATGATATCTTTGTTTGATAATTTTTCCTATGTAGTATCCTTTTGTTTTGTTGCATCCTTGTAGGAGCCTACAGAGCTCATACCCTACAGGCCACATTTAGATCCTTTTCAGGTAACTAGATGGACAGTGCCATGGGTAATTTTGTTTGATATGGTAAATTTGCTGCTGAGGTAAGAGCTATCTAATCTTATATCTAAATACAAAAGTGACTACTTGGTCATAAACTCAAGGGAATCAAAGATTATCTTTACCATTGAAAGCAAAAACCATCTACGCCTCATATTTCTTGAATCGCAACGCCCGAAAAGCTTGAATTGATCTAACATATCTACAGTCTGCAACATCCTGACTTCGAGTTAATGTCGTCTCCTCCATCAACCAACACACTCCGGTTCTTCTCCTGCGTCGACACAGCAACATCCAGACCCGGGTTTGCAGTAAAGAAATTCGCAGGCTTCAAACCAACAGTCATCTTCTCCGATGGCATGACCGGCCAATCTTCGATTCTAGGGTTATGTGTGGATCCAAACGTATGCCAAACAACGATATCTTGGTTTCGCACCGAGGATTGCTCGGTTCCGGCGCGCTTTGCAATAGCGCTCGCGATCCCGTCACCCCCAGTCGACTGCATCGTGTGACGGCCCGCCGGGAAATGCTCCTCATCGTTATAACGCGTGACCCAGACCGCGTGCTGTCCGAACTCAGAGCGCTTGGCATGGTATGACTCCGGGTGTGAGAGTAGCATCTGACTGTAGGCGGGGAGCAGCTTGAACCCGACGGGGGTTCCGGTCACCGGGTTGATGACGTTCTCGTTGATGATTTTGAAGTTACGGTTCTTGGTGAAATCCAGGTCCAGACCGCCCTCTTTGTCCACGATGGATGAGCGCGTGACGTAGCCCACGCCGAAGGGGTTGTTGTAGGAGTTGATCTGGGCTTGTGATTTATCATGATGGTCGAAGCTGAACACGTCAGCAGGCATGGGGTGGGACTCTTCCACCTGCAAGGAATTGCCGTGTCCGTCGAGTGCAGGGTCCATGCGAAGGGAGAACAGATGCTGGTGGTAAGGGGCCAAGACGCCCGGCGCGACGATGGTGCCGTAGGGCACTTTATCGCCAATATCGATTGGGGTGGTTGAGAGGATGCCGGTTGCGCGAACTTCGTAATGAATGGATGCGTCCTGGCCGAAGTGGAACGCGAAGATGTATTCGTAATTGCTCACTGTGATGATGGTCTGCAAGACTAGAATGCGGGAGCGCGTTACCACTGCGTTCTGGGTCCGGAAGTTGGTGTGCTTCCACAAGATCCCGTCATCTTCTTCATGGCAGCAAATTACGTTAGGGAGCTTGACTGGGTCTCCTGAGGTGGTAGTATGCCAGCCATCGAAGTATTTGATGTGGCCCAGGCAGTCGCAACCCAGACGTAGGTTGTTAGCATTGATTCCTGCACCGTCGTTGCCGAGATCAAATGCTGCTTTGCGTGGGTATGGAGTTCGAGGATCTCCATATGGCACAAACATCTCTGCTAGAGACAAGCGGTAAAAGAGGCTGCGGTTGTCGTAGCGAATGTCGTGGAGGGTGAGACCTTCTCGGTAGTTGAATCCGATATGCATGGACCACTTCTCCCATTCCAAGAAGTTCCCTTGCGTCTTGAAGGAAGGACCTTCAGGTTGCACGACTTGGTACGGTTTCGTCGTCGTTCGAGGCGAAGGTCTCAAGCCAGGGCTATATTCGGCTTCCGCTCCATGAATCTTGCGGCGATCGAATGGCTTCGGCTTGTCATGGATGCGCTCCTCGGGGCCAGAAGGCAATTGGTAAATCTTAACGACTTTCAACTGCTCCGATACTTCCGCGCAGAGATCTAGCGGATACGCGTAGTAGTTGGCATCGACATCGTCCACCAAGCGCATGTAGAACCAGCACTATGTACTCCCTTAGCACTTGTCTTGGACCCTAATTGAATATAGCTCTAATTTTGACTTACCATAGTAGTCCGCTGTGACACATCCTTTGTACCATCTGTAGCATAAGCCCATGCCTCGACAATCACCGAAGCGCCGTCCGGTAGTTGCAAGTGTGTAATCTCTTCCTGAACTTTCGGATCTGCCAAGCAAGCCTTCTCAACGGCTTGCATATAATCGGAGTCAATATAGGGATGCTTTCCAACAAGATGTTGCTGTTTAAGAACAGCAGCTTGGTCCAGGTCGACCCAGAGTTCAATGAACTCGGTCGCCGGTTCACCCGGAAGAACTGTCTGGACGCGAGCGATCCTTGCAGGTCTCTTGGATGTGGTTTCTCCTCGATTTTCATGCTCCAAGAAAGGGACCATGTCAGCCTTAGATGGTTCTTTCAAGGTAATAACTCGAAAGTTGGGCGTTTGTCCTGGAAACTCGCGGCGGACAATAGTTGCAGCCTGTGCAATTTTGTCAGGTCTTTTTCCATAGAATGTACCATGTACTTTTGCATACCTTTGTGATCTCCCTTGGAGTCAAAGGGTCAAAGGGGTGGTTGAGCGACATGATTGCTAAGAAGTTGGATACGCGGCGATCGTTAAGGCCGAATGGTTGATTCTTTTACATGAGGTACAGTACGAAAGATGGAAGAAACGTCTTTTTAATAATTAATCTGGGGGATTCTGGGTGTGGTGAGGGACAGGACCGAGATGTTCCCAAAGGTCAGTTTTACGCGAAGCTGTTTCTAGGCTTCCATGAAGGTAAGGATTAACCGGGCCGTCGACGCAAGGACGGCCGTAGCGAGCCGGAGCAGGCACCGAGCGTTCCAGAGCCCGGTGAAACCGGAACTTCCGCGCGGAAATTCCATGTGGGGGAAGACGGAAGCCCTAGGGGTAACTGGTCGCGATGTCCTTGGCCATAACCTCATTTGTTGAAGGGAGAGAACAGAGCCCACCTCTGCATACTGCGTACAAGATTTTTGCTAATATATAAGGGTCTGAGGAAGATGGACGGTTTTCTCTGCTTGGAGATTACAGAAAAATTACAAAAAGAAGCCCTATCAAACTCCTCAAATTGCACCTAGAGAATAGCGATCTCAGAGTATTTCCTCGAATGTCTAGAATAGAAGCATTCTGTTGTTAATAATGATACAACTTTAATAACTCAATTTCGCATTCCATCAGACTCATATGAAGCAATTATTCCCACCAGTCATGTCGAACCGGCTTCCTTTCACAGTTCATTTTCGCCCTGGAACACCTCTTGATATTACCTCGTCAAGTCTTCGCCTACTATATAAAGAGCGCCTCTCAAGTATCATCGATACGTTGCAGACTTTAATCCTCCGGTGCAAAGAAGCAAACTCCGGAGAGCGAGCCGAACTAGTATCAAAATGGCACAGCCTAGCCAGCAACTCACGAAACGATATCGCGAGGCTCATAGTCCACGAAACAAGAAGCTCAGTAGCAGTAGCCCTAAGCAAATTTGACCACGCACTAGGCTTTGCATGGTGGTTTTCCGGCGAAGCTGAGTGCGCGCGTGGCTAAGTCGCTCCTCGGTCGTCTGTCTCTCATAAACGTATGTACGCTGGCTCTATGTGGTCCTTTGATGGGACAGACTGTCTCGCAGGATTTGGACTCAGGTTCTTTACCGGATCACGGGGTGAATGTAGGAAATACAGACAGCGTAGAAGAGAGCCTGATGTGGGAATTATTTGACTTTCAGCCTTCGTTGGACTGGCTTGATATACCCCTTCCGCAGTACTGCTCTTAATTTTAAGACTGCTATCGTTTTTCCTTTGTGGGTAACGCTTCATTTCATCGTTGGATATCGGTGATTGCATACATGTTTGCAATCGCACCAGATTTGCAACCATTCATTCAATTTCAAACTCTTAACTAAATTTATAAATTTACTTGTATTAATAAACACATGTCATGAGAAAAGCAACGTGAGTCAAGTGAAAAGACAGACAACAGAAACTCAAAGTCAAAATTCAGGGTCCTCCCTTTGACTCACCCCAGATTCCCGAATTCCCTCAAGTGTACGTATAAAATAGCACGAGAATCAATAAAGAATTTTCAAGCCTTCAAAGATTTCCACTGCACGAACAAAGCACCAAGCAACGACAAAGCGCCAGCAGCAGCCGACACATAGAAAACATTCACAAGGCCATCATTATAGGCAGAGACAACCCGAGGCAGCACGTCGGCCGGTATATATTTTTTTCAAATTCGTAGCACCGATGTTGACAACCTGCTGTGGTACAATGCCCGCTCTACCGGCGAGATTCTGCAAGAGACCGTTTGTAAATACGTTCTATGCCACAGATATGAATACAGCCCCGCCAAGAGTTTGCGAAAACAGGACCGTAGCTGTCGCGATGGGTATATCGGCGGGTGGGAGGGCTGATTGGACAGCGATCAATGCCTGCTCCATACCGATTCCTACCCCGGCGCCGAAAACGATCTGGTAACCGATCCATTTACCACTACCGGTGTCGGGGTGGAAGGTTGATAGAAGCCCTGCTCCGATTGCTATGAGGCAGGAGGATAGAAGCATGAAAGGTGTGTAGTAGCCGAATTTGATCACGCATGCTCCGGCTACAATCGATAGTAAAACTTGGGCAAGGAGCATGGGGAGATTCATGATTCCTGATTTCACGGACGAGACGCCTTTGATGGCTTGGGACCAGATGGGAAGCTAGTCGGTCAGTATCAGATCCGGCACGACGGAGATGAATGAACATACGTAGTAGACTAGGGCAAAGAAAGATGCCCCGAGGAAGAAAGTGAACGAAGAACTTTCCCAGACATTCCGGTTTCCGAATACCCGTGGCGGAAGCGTGGCGTTCTCTTGTTGCCAAAATTGCACACCCAGGAAAGCAATCATCAACAATCCGGAAAGGACGAACAAGGCGATGATCCTCCCATTGCTCCACTCGTAGGCCGATCCACCCCATTGCAATGCCAAGAGAATACATATGATGGATGGAATGAAGAAAGTTGAGCCGATGATATCAAATTGCTGAAACTGCTTCCAGAGGGATAAAGTCGACGTTGCTCGCGAAAGAGGACGGTAGAAACATAGCAGGAAAAGAAATGTGACACCACCGATGGGAAGATTGATATAGAAGCACCAACGCCACGAGACGAGATCCGTGAAAGCTCCACCCATCCTAGATGCACGCACAGCGGTCCTGCTACACTCGTGACCCCGTACATACCCCCGACTAATCCAGTATATACAGGTCTTTTCCCCAACGGCACTGAATTTGCGATGATCAGGATGCCACCGGAAAAGAGGCCCGCTGACCCGATCCCGGCTACCGCGCGACCAAGTATAAGACCCAATGAATTCGATGTCACGGCGCAGACCAAAGATCCGATTTCGAAAATAGTCAATGCCGAAAGAAACACCATCCTGATGGAGTAGAAGGTGTAGAGTTTCCCAAAGATCAGCTGCATTGAGCAGGTTGTCAGAAGATAAGCACTTCCATACCAACCCACGTCGTCAAGGGCGTGGAATTGGGCCGTGATATGAGGAATGGTCGTCGCGATGATTGTATTGTCCTATAGAAAAGACGAAGGAAAAATGAGCTTCTATCGAGTTCAGGGGGGTTCATTGTACTGACCAACGCCATGCAAAATATTGCAAGGCAGAGGGCTGTCATGATTACGGCCAATTTCATTGGCGATGGATAGCTTTGTTGGTCATCTTGGACTGCTTCTTTTTCGGACATTTTGCAAACTTTCAGATTTCTCAATGAGAAAGGTGGTGTGAACTGCAGTATGAAAACCTTATAATCCAGGACAAATCACATATCCAGTTCCTTGCGTTGTCTTGAACTGTTCTAGGAGGCTACGAGCATATATGCTATTATGGCAGCCCTAGTGGGAAGATCACCAGATAGAAGGATGGGATAAGGCTTGCTAAGAGCAGATTTCTTTAGCCTACGTAAAGCCTCTAGCTTTGATATGTACATTTGGCGCCCGCTTTGGCTTTGTGCGATAAGTAGCTGCGATTAGAGAACCTTCTCAGGCTGTAACTAGGATAACCAAAGATCTTAGAAGCTGACTTAAGGTTCAGAGAGAGAAAAAGTGGAATGAAACACAAATAAGAACAGGAATAGGAACAAAGGTGGGGATCAAGAAGAAGCTGTGAACACAATCCGAGGATCAATGATCTCTTCAATTTGCTGTGCTTTATAGAACCAGAATAAACCGCGTTTTCAGCAAGTAGCTCGCATGGCTTAGTTGGTAAAGCGCATGACTAGTAATCATGAGATCCTCGGTTCGAATCCGAGTGTGAGCATAATTTTTGGTTTTTGCATTTGGTTGTTCTGCCATCACTAAATTCCCATAATGGACATTGATATTAATCGCTATGATAAACAATCAAATTTTGATATTTCTCGCACGCCGTTCCATGGTAGTCTTGACTGGGCCGATTTATTCATTGTTCCTGGCCAGTTCATTCTCCCGTTGGCGACCATAGGGTTGGTTCCCGAATATGTACAACGTTGCTATTTCTATGAAGTCATGATTTAGTTATATATTAAATGCACGCAGGAAAATAGAACGGCAGATTGCGAAGCAGATCCAGAGATAAACATACACCCTTTCCCTTCAACCCCTAATCTAGTGAATAAAATGATACAACCTTTTTATTCACTTTATACCTAATGCCGCCATGGGGGCCTCGATCACAAGAATCAATCATGCTCAAGGCAACAGAAACAAAATCCAGGGAGCAGGCACACGTCCCGCCGGAAATAGGGACGATGTTGATCTTCGCGGGCCATCTTTTTAGGCTCCACCCGTCGCAACGTGATTGCGTCGGGGAAGATGGTCGTGAGTAGCATCACCTCGTATTTCTTTGGCGATGGGGCCAATCATGGGCATTGATGAGTCTGCAGGGATCCCGTTTGGCTTGGCGTGAAGGCATGTGTGCATGTGAACTTATTTATAAATTTAATTAATCGTGATTGTGGGATACTTGAGGGGTTCTTCTGATTATCACTTTCGATGTCCTGGTAGCAGTAGGGTTTCTGTATAGATCAGGCAGAGAAGCCCTAAGGCCAACATGGCAGCCACGAACGCTCCAGTCTCAGCCAAAAGACAATCTTTTCCTATAAACATGCCAGATGGCCCTCCGAAGACAAGGCTCTAGATCTAACCCTATCCTATCTCGAGGAGGTGGGACCAATCTCTGCTCTGCAGCAATCAAATGCCGATTCTCTCCTGATAGGGCATCGATCATCGTCCCAAGAAATCCTAATACGACCGGTTCTGGCATTTCTAGAGATCGTCTCGCCATCTCCCCCGAAAGTGAAATTACGACCTTACATTTCTGCCCCAGTTGGGGTGACTAGACTGCTAGTGTCAGTCTTAGGGTCTCGATGTGTCAATCACTCAGTTACTCGAATCTGACAGGAGGGAGGGCGAACTGATGTACATATATACGGGAGGAGTCCACGTTCCTATGCATAAATGTACCATAACGAAACAAATTGACCATGGAGCCTCTCCTCGCCCTACTCTTCCTTCACACAGCAACCACCTCCGCCTGGACCTTCACCTGGCGAAACGCCTCCTCATCCAGCTTCCTCAAGAACAGCCACGACCCGATCCCATGCACGAACATCGACCAAGCAAAGGGTCAGCAGTTCGACTTCCACCCCGAAAATGACAATTTCAACTTCTATATCTGGGCCACGGAGAACTGCACCGGCGACTACGCCGGGTACACGACACCCGACGTGTGGCGAAAGAAGGCGAGCAAGGATATGCATTCGTATCTAGTTGATTATGGCGACGAGTCGGGGCCCAAGTCGACGGCCTTAGCGACGGCCTCTACAGCAACAACGGGTACTTCTACTTCGTCTACTTCTACAGCGTCTTCGACAGCGTCTTCGACAGGGTCAGCGACGTCCTTAACAGGTACAGGGACAGCCGCAGCTTCGACCTCAGCGTCGTCCGATGCAAACAACGGACCAGCAATCTCGGGCGGTGCCATCGCAGGTATCGTGATAGCTGTGGTAGCGGGTCTGAGCATCTTAGGCGCTGGATTCTTTTATCTCGGACGGCGAGCTCGACGCGGAAACACGAATCTCCCTGGTAGTAGCCTGTCACAGCCGCCACCACCATCATCGTCACAACCGCAGAACATGTACCCATCTCCCAGCTCGATACCACCCAGCTCATCACATGGCCGTTCCGGCGGCGCAGAAATCAGCTTCGGAGCTGAAGCACAATACCCGCAAGCTCACGGACCGACAAAGCAGATGGATTTATCAGGGACGCAGAAAGCGTGGGTCGAGCTCCCTGGGGAGGATATGGCGGCGGAGTTGAGTGTTAGTCGGCAGGTAAATGAGTTGGACGGACATTCGAAGATGATGTATCAGTGACTGGGTGGGGGTGTTGTGTATGGGGGGTTATGGGAAATGTGGTATGTGTTAAGTAGGTCTATAGCTCGAGGTAGGTCAAGAAAATACTCAATGGTTGTTTCCCTTTCTCAATTTCAATTTAATGTAATGCAAAACTGGAGACAGTACCTTAGTTTTGACGGGATCCATAGGGGATTATAGATGGCTGACAAGTGAAAATTGAAAAATTCAAGTCAAATTATCGAAAGGATAAAATTCATCGCACCGCAATGAGAAGAGGGTCTTGAATATCTAGAACAAAAAAAGAAGTCAACAGTGTAGACTCCATCCATAAACCCGTCTAAAGACCGATAATGGAAGAACAAGAATAGAAATTTGGACACAAGACAATGAAAGAAACAATCGAATCAGACACTGATGAGCAAACTAACAGTTTCTGTCCGACATCTGTCCATGGCAAAAGCTCTGTACAAGGGATAGTCCATCCCAGACATTTCCAGACTGCTTAAACATAAGCGCCGATATAATCGCAAATAATTTAAGTATAATGCAGCAGTTGAACAAAGGAGAATGAGAAATGAAGTGAAAAGCCAGGACATGCCCGATGAAGAAAGAAAATGCCACCTTCAAAATGATTTGAACTCCATAAAACTCCGTTTTGAGTTGAAGTCCAGACTTGTGACCTCTAATCACAAAGGTAGAAAAAGCACAGTACACGAGCATTATGTTCAGGGAATAGGGTATCTCGTAGCCTCTCGAGGTATCGGCATCAATGGCATGCGACCCCCAACTCCACCTGCCACTCCACCACCGCCCCGTCCCATGCCAGCCCGCAGATCGAAATCGGGGTTATTCTCTAGCAAAACGTTCTGTTTCTGCTGCGCAGGGAGTGGTGGACGCCAGCGTGGGTTGATGGGTCGCTCAGAAATGGATGTAAAATGGCTTATATCGCTATGAGTAGGTGAGCAAGGGCCTTCAACCATTTCCTCCTCTATTGGCTTCGGCTCACCATTACCCGGTGTCAGAGCAGATGGCAACCCTGGGTTGCCTCCTGCAGGCTCATTACGATTAGCAAAACGGGGATCGGCATCTTCAAAGTATTCGCCCGAGCCGGATCGGATATGTGGTGAGGGTCGTCGAGCTGCTCCATAAGCATGGACAGGTGAGGGTGAGGGACCAGAGCGTGGCTCCGGTGGGCCCCAGCCGTTACGCGCCGGAATGTATGATCTGCAAAGACATCAGCTGAGAAGACTCAAAATGGCACAAAGAAGGCTTACGCTGTTCGACTGTAAAGGCTCGAAGGGCTGACCGGCTCCGGATACCCATCGGCGGACAAGGCATGTGGTTGCGAGTCAAGCATTACCTCCTGACGTTCCGGGTCTGCAGAGCCCATCCGTCTCGGCTGCGGTGTCATTTCAATCGCCTGGCCAATGGGTGCTCCGGCGTCCGGCGACATGGCCATGCCAATCGGTCCAGGGGAGGGCCGACGCATCGTGCCTCCAGGAGAATGACCTCCGTACTCGTGTTCATCCTCTTCAGTTGCGGGCATTCCCCGTGGACCAGGACCAGGACCAGGACCGTAGACAAATTGTGGTGGGCCACGGTAACCTCCACGGCCCATCATGCCAGGGGGACCACCTCGCATCGGGCCCATCGGTCCACCCCTGCCACTCGGAGGGGGTCCTCGGGGCCCTCCATACGGTCCTCCGCGGCCGTAGCCTCCTCGGGGAGGGTATCCACCTCGGCCACGTGGGCCTACACCCGGCGGAGGCGCGCCTCTGCGTGATCCCATGCTACCGTCCGAATATTGATTGCGCAAGCGCGGGTCGCTCGGAGGAGGTCGCATTCGTGGTCCCGCGCCAGGTGGGGGAAGCGGGTTTCCGTATTCATCGCGTGGGACGTTGTAGGCAGCTCGATCATCTCGCATCGGAGCAGGCATCGGAGTAGGAACCGGAGCAGGCGGGTGGTTATCCAGAGGCATAGGGGCATCGCTAAGAGGTGTTCGTGAGTTGAGAGGTGTGCGATCGTCGTCGCTTTCGCGCGTAGTGGTGCGGAAAGTCGCAAATGTTGGACCTGTTTCCGAGCCCGGAGGAGACCCATTGACAAAAGGCTCCTTTGTTTCTTCACTGAGGGGCGGGGGAGGAGGATTCATGGCGGGATGTGCGGTCGTTGCGTTCTGGCGATTGTAATAGTTTTCGCCGCTCATTTCCGCATTCTCTGCGATGCGCCTCTTCCGTGCCTTGCGGCTAACAAGAGTCCGGCGCATTGCGCATGTGACGACCCCACAGGTGACGAGAAGGATGGTCGCACCGAGCACAATCCAACCGCCCCATCCGAGATGCGGAACAAAAAGCAGGATATCTATCAGGAAAGCGAGCAAGGTGACGAGAAGTGTTGGGAGCAACAGAATCAGGAGGGCAAGGAGATATCGAGGCGAGTGCGACGGGCTGTGGAAATGAGCCGCCACAGCCATGCAGAGACAGATAAGCGTCAGAAGAGCGGCGACTGGGTGTACGATTAAGATCGAAGAAATCGATCGGCGCGTACTCGTCGGGAGGTAGTAGTCGTCATCGGTGCCGGCGCTGCTGAGATCATCTGTTGACAGATTACTTAGCGACAAATTTCAAGATTCCATGGAGACCGGCAAGAGAAACCAACCATTATTGTAACCAACATGGATATTGGTACATTGGTCTTTCTTGCAATAACCGAAGACACCGTAATCGACATCTTTGAAGGTTGCCAACGGAATTCCTTTGACGATAGGGGTCGAGATGACGGACAGAACCAGGAGAACAAAAGCGACTAGAAGCAGGATTGTAAGGGGGGTCGCGGGTTTAAGCAACATGGTGGAAGAAGAGCGTCACCGACGCTAGAGACCACCGTGCGGGCGAAGAAACGAAGGGGGAAACAGTGGGGATGGAAGACAAAGAAGCAGAAGGCTCCAAATCTCCAATGACAGCGACACACGCAGTCGAACAGGTTTCGCGAGTTCAAAGCATTGGTTGGAGCATCGCTTCTATTCTTCGTTGCTTCCTGGCCAATTTCCCTTGTGACGATCGAGCCAAGTTCTAGGGAGGAGAGCGGAAGACTACCTAGGGAGGCCTAGGGAGGGGGAAGGAATAGACAGGCAGAGGATCAAGAAAGCTGCGACCAGCGACTAATCGAAGTCGACAATCCGATGCAGGCAGCAATTTTCTGGAGAATGGCAAGTCAGATAGGCTAAAGGAGGGGACTGCAGTGGGAAAACGAATGAATGCAAGGAAAGAAGGAATGAATGGAAGAGGGAACGAATGGAAGCCAGAGCGAAGAATGGCGGAACTGGGATTAGATTGTTGGATTGGGGAGTGCCGCCCGTCGGTCAGCAGGGGGAGGGGGTGGTGGCCTGAGGTGTCAACCGTTGCCACTGTGCGTCTGCTTCTCCCTCGTTACTCTTACTTCTCCGTATTCTGGATCACTCCACGCCTCTCTACCTGGTGGACACTCTATCGTTCTGTTTAGATCCTATCTTCCCCTGGATCATCCAGTCCTTCCCCTCTCGACAGGACCTTCGTGTTACCGCGTCGCTCTCGATTCTCCGTGGTGGCTGAGCCCGACGCTACCCCGATGATGGAATAGCTGCTTAATTTCTTTTGCAGTTTTAAGCATACGGGGTCCGTCCGTCCCACCCAGTCCTCTCGTCTGATTCGCCAAGCCACGCTCTGCAATTATGTCCCACTCTTGGCCACGCCAGACTCTGCCGATAGGCGACTATTAGTCCAATGCCCGAGCTCCCTTCTGTCGACACCGTCACGAGATCCATCGCTCCTATTGCGATCGAAAACTGCATAATGAATCTCGATGGAGTACCTTCTCTGGCACCTTTTGCTCCCTTTATCACCGTTGCGTATAAAGTAGCACACTTGCGTCATGAGCTTACGGCGGTCAAGACCAAGGCCGGACTGGATCTGCGATCAGGGGGCATTAAGAATAGATGGTTTCGCGAATCCGACATATTACAGGAGGGCAACCCCACTTCAAGGAGCCGTCCTGTTATCCTCCTTGATTGACTTCCAGGCCTTCTGTTCCGTGTCTGCCATATCCACAGTTCAAGGAGTCGAGCTAACGTCCCGTTTCAAGAGACGGATCGCCGGTCAAAGGAGTGTTGCGATTGCGAATGAAACTGTGTCAATAAACGCGAGACTGCCGCAAACCTTCCATCAGTCGATCAAAGAATCCTCCTATCTTCTGGTAGAGTACGGAGTACCAACGGCTTCATTTGCAATCGCGATTAATTTGGCCTGGTCGCGACTTACTTTCCCTGAATTGACTCCACTGCAAGGCCAAGCCCGCCATTCAGAATTCTAGATTCATCTGGAGTGGGGTACTGTCTGTATCATACATAATTGGCTCGTCAAGCGACTTGAGGTGGGTCGAATGGATTGAGTTCCGTTAGTAAGTTCGTGGGCGTTAGATAAGATCATGAGATATAGATGATATTGCCCGTTAGGGGAAAGAGATCGGTAACACATCGCATCTTTCTATCAATGATCTAACAGAATAGCACGTTGACGGAACTTTTCTCTCTACGGAAAGAATAAACATAAAATAAGCGAGCGTTATTGCCAAACACCAGGACCCTGAGGCGCTACAACCACCATCCGTCCGTTGCAGACCACCATTGCCAATGGCAATTTCTTAAAAAAAAACCTCAATATCTTACACAATACAATGGATTGAGCAAATAATTTCTAAGCTCACGGAGGGTTATTCTATCCTGTATGCATATGCGCAACACCCGTTCCCTATGAAAAAAAACCCCACCACCCATCCTATCTCCAAGTTAGCATCTGCTCCCAATACCTCCGCTATGGCCATTACGTTCAAGACGCACAAGGACACATTTACAATGGTTCGAAAATTTGAGATATATTGTATCACGCCCCATAACTCTATGAAACGTGTCTAATGGTTCAGATAGGCTTTTATCTCATTTCTATCGCCAATATGAACCTTTGTGCTTAACTTTCGTTTTCAGATCCCGAAGACCGAGATATGACATGTTTAAGGGTAAAGAGTTCAAACAACGCGGAATACGAAGTCCTGGTGATTATACAATCGCAAGCTTATAATTTTATTATTATTATTAAATCAAATTTATTGTCCATACCCAGCCTTAAAGCTATGACAGACCATATTCCATGAGCTTGAGTGTCGTAACTATTCCACGATCTCTTGCTTCGATGTTTTCCTGGAACCTGTTCACATCTATAAGCATTCTGATCCTTTTCCTCGCCCCAAACCGCTTATATGCGCAGGGCTTTCGAGCCTCCAGGAAGTGCTCCCCTTGTACTGTTAGACCGGAACAGGTTTTCAGCCTAGACTGGTCTGGCCAGCTTAGGCCGCTCTTCCTGCTATCCTTCTCCTGTTCTCTCTGCTTCCTCTAGTGCTCGTAGACCCCATTTATCGTCTTTTCGGGCTCTTTCCGCTTCTTTTTCTAGGTATCCTTGAGGAAGAGCGAGCCCAGTGATGGTCAGGAAACCTAACGGAGCTCCCGTGGCTTTGGGTTCTCTCAGGAGTCTTCCCTCAGGACAGTCCTCTGCAGCGGTAGGTCTTAGCACACCTGCTTCCTCCAGGTCCCTGTAGAGCCTGCTTCTTTGATGGCGCCACTATCGACATTCGAAGGAAAGATGCCTTACTGTTTCCTTGGGTGACCCACATCCTCGGCAGACTACATCTTCCCGAGCCTGAATACGGTATAGATATGACCCAATGGCTGTATGCCCCGACTTGAGTTGAAAATACCGACTTGCTAGGCGCTTAGGGGCCCTTGCAACTAATGGATCAATCTGCCAGATTTTATGTGGTCTGTATGAACGTTGAGCTTGCTGGGATCGCTGGCTAAGCTCCCTGATTAGCCACTCTTGTTTTCTTGTTGCGATAGCCTCCGTCAGGGCTCTGCGGGCGAAGGCTAGGGAGATCTCTTTCGGACCTGCATTTGGAGGCCTGATAACTGCTTGCTTAGCTGCTTAGTCTGCTCGCTCATTTCCTTCCACTCCTGCGTGTCCTGGGATAGTGGGCTCACAACCTTGAACCTGTAGTTTACGGGCTATGATATGCGCTTGGGCTGCCAGGGCCTGTCCTGGCCCTGTATGAGTGTGTTGCAGTCTGGCAATGGCAGCTTGGGGATCTAGTAGGATAGTTACTGGTCTCTGGCCTCCCGCTTTTTTTGCTACCTGTAGGGCTCGCACTACCCCAAGAAGTTCTGCATCAAACACTTCATAGCCTTTTCCCAGTGAAAAGCCTCTGGTCTTCCTTTTTTTCGCTGGGTCTTGCCATGCAACTCCTGCCCCAGCTCTACCATTTGCCAATCTTGTACCATCGGACCAGATTGCCTGTTCTAAAGGGATAGTTAGTGCAGCTACTAGAGCCTCCTAGCTAGTCAGAATCTTTATCATACCAGGGAACTGATTGCTAGTTGCTTGTAGCGGACTTTCAAAGCCTCCAGATGGGTTCACTGGCAGGATATTGGCTAGCTGCCGGGCCAAGTGCTGCCCTAGGGACCACGGTCCCCGGGCATTGTCCTCAGCCCACCTTCTGTTCCCTGGGGTTGGTTCTCCAGGCTGAGCGTGTTGGTCTCTCTCTTGAAAGCTCACTGGGAGTATTTTGTTAGCGGGATGATTCTCTGGTAGGCCAAGCAGCCGAGTAATATATCCAAGCAGCCGGGCCTCTAGTAGGACCTCAGCTGGTGTTACTGCTGCTTCTCGGACTAGGAGGCCAACTGGGGTGGTCTTCAGCATACCAGTGATAGCCCGAGCTTGTCGATTGATCATCAACTGCACGCCCTCCTGCCGATTTTTCTGGCCCCGCCACCAGAGCCCTGCTCCATAGAGTGCTACTGATTGCACTGCGGCAACTTGGACCTGACGAGCCAGCCCGGGGCCGAGCCCATGCATCTGGCACAGTCGTTGTACCCGGGCTTCTGCAGCCCGGGCCTTGCGCATACAGGTCTGGTAATAGGCCTTGAGGTTTAGACCAGAATCAAACCATACTTTCAGCTATCGGGTTGCCTGCAGGTTGAAAGGAACAGATTAGCCTCCCACTTCTATGTGTGCTCGCTGAATCTAGTCTTTTAGTTTTCGACCATGCTTGCGGGTAAGTAAGAGCGCTTCTGTCTTTCCCGCATCGAACTGAACTATGTTACTATGTCCCCACTCGATGGCTACTTGGGCGGCGTCTTGCAGCTTATCGCAGATTTCGCGAACAGAGTTCCCTGAGGCTAGCAGGCCTATATCGTCTGCAACAGAGAGGGGCTAAATTCCCGGAACTGTATTCTCTATCGCTTCGAAAATACCGCTAAGGTATATGATAAACAGAAAAAGAGACACTGGTGAGCCTTGCGGCACCCCTGGGCTAATTGAGTGTAGTGGGCACTGTACGTGGTCGATCTGCAGTTGAACCCATCGGTCCGTCAAAAATGATTGCACCCATCGGATCAGGTCCACATTCAGGCCCAGTTTGATCAACCGGCTAACCAGTCTGCTTGGGTTGACGTGATCAAACGCTCCTTTCATATCAAGGAACAGAGCTCCTACAAGCTGTTGTAGTTTCCAGCACTCATGTGTAGTCTGTATCAGACATGCTACCGCGTCTATTACGTTTTGTTGTCTTCGGCTGCCCATCTGCCCTTGATGTAAGACTCCTGTAGCCTCATAGTGACTGGTGATCGCCTCTGCTGCTATTTTTTTGACCACCTTTCCTAGATAGTTGAGTAAGCTGATCACCCGATAGGCCTTTATCGCCGAGTAATCAGGCTTATTAGGCTTTCTTAAGGGAAATGCCCTTTGCCACCTTCCATACCGGCGGGTGTATTCCCAGCCGGAAACATTGTCGGGCGAGAGCAGTTACTCGGGGATTGTCCCATTCCCAGAGAAGCCACAGAGCCCGGATGTTGGGTTTGTCTATTCCTAGAATCTTTTGAATCGCTTGATGAAGCAGAGCTTGTTTAACTATTCTCTCGTCCACTTGAGCGTGCCAGGATCCTGGAGGAATTTCGACTTCCTGGCTGATGCCTGGCGTTTGGGGGAAGGCAGATTCTCGAATCAGGGCCTCTTTCTCGTTAATTGAGCTGGCAATTTGTCCTGGGGTCCGTGTAGTGTTGGGGTTGTTGTGGCTATTCTGGGCTTTCTAAAGTCTAAAGCCTGCCAGCCTCGGGCTGTATCGGTAGCCCGTTCTAGGAATGTTTCCCAACAGGAGCGTTTTGCTTGCTGAATAGCTCTGTAGTAGCTGTTCCGGACTTTCTTTAACTCTGTTGTGGAGATCTCCTGTCCCTGCCATGCTCTTCTTGCCTGGCTATAGGTTCTGCGGGCCTCCTTGATCTCTGGACCTCACTAGTGCTTTGATCTTGGAGTCACTCGTAGCTGCTTCGCACATCGATTCAATACTCCTGTTAGGGTCTCTCGGATCCAGATGGTCTCTTCCGCTATGTCTTCTGCCGAGTACGTATCTCCCAGGATAGGCCTGGGTTGTGCTCTTGCTTGCCAATCTCGTATAGTTTTCTCCAGCGCTTGTGTATTGGCTTGGAGTGTCTAGATCTGCCATTCTTCTATATCTTGGGAGAGCGCTGCTGTTGTTCTTTCCAGAGAAGTCCACTCCATAATGTAGGCCGTATCTCTAGACGTAATTGCTAGTAATGTACCCATAGGAATATCGAATGATGAAGGTCTCATTCTTTCAATCTAGCTGCAAACGGTGGTTTAAATACATGAAAAATGATAAGCAATCTAGCCTAAAAAGGCAGCTAGAAAAGACATAACTTTTGAACCGTGGAAATATCAGAAAAATCTGCATAATCCTTGGGGATCGGTAGTTACCAATACCAATGTCCGGAATAGGAAGGTCTCCTATGTGACTAGCGGTCACATACGGTTGACATATAATCAACATTTCATAATTTGATCCTGTTGGATGCTCTTGGTCAACTGCCTATGTTTCCAGAGGGCCCATATTGCTCGGTTTATGGCCAGGATCTTATCCTCTTTCTCTGATTTCGGGGTGGCTTTGCCTCCCTCGCGGCGAAATAAGAGTCTTCGTGCCTCCTTAGGACTGTTTTTGGCTGGCTTAAGCTTGGTTGGATTTGGCTGATTGGCTATAGTAGCTGCTTGAGTTCGTCTATTCTTCTGCCCCTTTTTGGTGACCTCATGCCATTCCTGTTTACCAGGTATAGTGGGGAGCAGTGCAGCTAGATCTGCGAATATAGGTGTCTGCTTTGACTTTTAGCTTGTCTTTTCCCTTGTTTTGGGAATCTTGTTACTGTTGTGCTGGTTTGTTTCGTTCAATTGGGCGTTGGTTTCCGCTGTATTCTGCCTCATCGGTCCAGGCGGCTGGATAGTATGCTGGGCCTCTGTAAGCTCTGTGCGAAGTTTACTGACTTCCTGTTATAGGTTTGTAATCCGCTAGAGATAGATTTCTTCATGAATCTGCTGTTCTGCTTTTCAGTTGGAAAGCTCCTCTGCTAGGTGTGCTTGTACCTGTTCTCGGACTATCTGGTACATTTCTTGTTGTTGTGTCTGGGCTCCTTCCAGAGCCCCTACTAACATTCGAGCCTGTTTACTCGCGTCTAGCAAGGAAGTGTAATGATGCTTTGGCCTACTAATCAGTGACTTTTGTAGAGCCTTTCGTTGTCTGATTCCGCTTCTGGCCTCACGGGCCCGACCGGGGGCCCTGCCGGACCCCCCAGGTTGCCAGTGCTCCTAGCCTTCTCTTTCATCCATACTTGCGTTTCCTATGCTGCCACTATTAAGTACTAACTGCGTCATGCTTCCAGGTCGCCAGTAGATTGGTGTTGGGGTTGCTGGCATATCCTGTGTTTCTGCGAGCTGAGAGGCCACGTTACCTATCCCGGGGGGGGGGGGGGGGGGGGCCGCGTGCAAAAAACCCCCACCACAGTTTTTTTTGGCCCCCAGGTGGGTCAATTGGGGCCGGGGGGACAAAACAGGGCATTTACCCGTAAAAAAGAAGTGTTTTCCTTGGG